TTGTAAGAATATATTTTTTTCCCTTTCCAGTTGATATATGATAATTTCATACTGCTGATCCATGGACCTATTTCTTTATCTTGGGCCAGATCTATTCTCATCTTGAAGGAGTTGGTTTTTGCTTTTGCAAAATCATTCTCATTTTGTGTCCTGACATCGAACCTCATGATGGTATGATCGCTCCTCCCCAGTTTCCTTTTTCCCAAATCCCTCATTACTTATTCACTCTACTTCACTTCCGATAACAAAAATCAGAATGTACTCCTTTCCTTGGCAGGTTGGAAAACCTGAGAAGTACCCTTTGGCCTGCATTCCAGTGCAATCACGAGAATCTGCAAGAAAAGTGACACTCTCGTCATGAGTTATATATTCCTTATAATTTCATGAAGAATATGAAGTGCCAGTCTTGTTCTGACTGATACTGTGTGGCATCATATCCCTGTATAGTCATCAATAATTCTAATATTTCAATTTTTAACTATTTCTGTGAATGCAAAGTATGTGCATAATTGTGACTCTATTCTGCCTTAAATCTAACTATTTAATTTGTGTATGATAAATTACAAGCAGTCCCTGATTTAAAAATGTCTAAGCTATGAATCCCATATTAATATCAATTTCAATGATCTGTCTTTTGAACATTTTCTCGGAATTACAAATGGCTATTTAATACTGTATTATATTATGTTTTGACTTGCATACAAATTAACTTATGAACTTAGTCAGGAACAGAACCCATTGGTAACCTGGGGACTGCCTGTATATAATAAATATATAAAAATTATAACAGTAGAATCTTCATCGAAGTAATCCATAGCTCTGTTGGTAGCATATTTTTCTTTGAGAATGCAAGTTGTGGGCTCAAGTTCCATTCCACTCAATCATGTTATGGTCACATTTTTAAAAGGCTCTCTCACAGCAAGATTATTAAATAACTCCTTCTCATTGCACAAAATCACATTTAGGACAGCCTGCTCCCAAGTTGGTTCCTCAAAGTGCTGGTTTAAGAAATTCTTCTTGAAAACCCTGTTCCATATTATTAGTATAAATACGGCTCGTCGAGATTGATTCCACATCTAGATTTCCTGCACCTTTATCCTTTCACTAACAATGCCACCCTGCCTCCTTTTCCTCTTTGTCTATCCTTCCTGTTTATTGAAAACTCTTAGATGTTCATTTCTTGGCTAAGATCATGCTGGTGCCATACTTCAGTAATCACAATCATATTGTACATGTTTACATCCATATGAGCTGTTAATTCATCCGAAAACCAAAAGAACTGTGGGTGCTGTAAATCAGGAACAAAAACAAATTTGCTGGAAAAGCTCAGCAGGTCTGGCAGCATCTGTGAAAGAAAAAACAAAGGTAACATTTCTTTAGAACTGTTGTTGTTAATTCATCTACTTTGTTACAAACACTTCTTGCATTCAGACAGAGGACCTTTTGGCTTGTCTCTGACATTTTTGCACATTTTTTGCTCTATGTCCTTTTGCTGCTCGTCTATTTCCTCTATTTTCCACTTTTGCTTTCTACTTTTCTGCCCATTATTACCAGCTTTCTTTTCCTCAACTTTGTCCCCTCACTGTTTTCTGATGCAGCAAGGTTGATCGGGATTTAATTAACAATTATCACAATACATCAAGAGTATCTTCACTTCGAATGACAAGATTAAACTCTCAGAGGCAAATATAACTCAGCTCAGATGTGCAACATTGTGATATTCTATCTATGTCAGTGCTGAAGCAGATAATGCTGTGCAGTTTTCATAAATCTAGTAAGTGGGAGAAAAACCTTTGGATATTGACATTCAACCACACGTATGTTCCTCGCCTGAGGCCCCTGTATAATTTGCTCTTAAATAACAGGGAGCCACAGTAGCTTTATGGCTATTTTGATGACAAAATCTGGCTCATTAACTCTAAATTAACAGAATGAAAGAAGTGCCCTTCACTCAAAAATAGCTGAACCATTTTCCATTAAATAGTGTTCTAATTTGAGAAGCCAGATACTTTATGTTTTTAGTTAGCAGTTTCCTGATCATGTTTCATTAAATTTGGATGGCAATGTGCAACTTTCTGACGTAGGTCAGAATAAAGTTAGTCAGCCTTTTGAACACTTTTTGAAAATTCATTCAGGGGCTTTGGCTGTTGCTGGCCAGGCCAGCATGCATTGCACATCCCTAATTGCCCAGAGGGCAGTTAAGAGTCAATCACATTGCTGTGGGTCTTAAGTCAAATATAGGCCAGACCAGGTAAGGATGTCAGCTTCCTTCCCTAAAGGACATTCGTGAACCAGATCAGTTTTTCCAACAATGGATTCATGGTCATCATTAGACACTTAATGATAGATTTTTATGGAATTCAAATTCCACTGTCTGCCATGAGGTAGAACATGACCTGGGTCTCTGGATTAACAGTTCACTGGTAGTAGCAATAGGCCATTTCCTCCCCTAAGCAGCGATCTTAGAGCCCTAATACCTGCCCACTGCCCATTGCAATGACGACATTTGAAGCGAGCACAAAGACCTCAGACCCTGGCAGGCATGAGTACCAAGTGATTTTAATTCTGGGGCATTTTCTGTGAATCAAAACTGTCAGGAAGTGGGAACTAGTTAATGGTTTGCAGCAAAATTTCACAGGGCAGGGGGACACCAGCTCGTACCAATGGAATATTCCACAGCAATCGGTGATGGTCACGGGAGGTGTCTGGGAGGTAGGAGAGCAGGTTTGAGAGGATCTAGTGATTGGCGTGGTTTAGAGATGGGGGAGTCATGGTTAAGAGAATTGGGATGAAATCCCAGAGAGGGTAGACCAAACCTTCTGTGTGAGAATGAGAGGAACCGCTCCCTTCAGCTCTACAAGGACAAGTTCTGAACACATTACGTACATGAGGAGAGTTTATAGGGTCTAGAATGCACACTGAGAGTCCGATGGAGGCAGTTCAAGGGAGGCTGGTAATTTGAAAAGAGAGAATGTGCAGGATCACTGGAAGAAGGCAGGAGAATGGCACAAAGGGAATTGTTCATTTGGAGAATGGATACATGTATGATGGGCCAAATAGCCTCTATCTGCGCTGTAAAAATTCTGTGAAAGTATAAAATCTGGAATTGAAAACCAGGAGAGATGAAATGATCATTGATTTCGTAAAAAAAAAAAAATCACCCAGCTGGTTCACTAATACTCTTTTAGGAAATCTGCTGTCCTTGGCTGGGCTGACCTACACGTGACTCCAGACCCATAAAAATGTGGTTGACTTTTGGCTTCTTTCCAAGTGGCCTTGGACAACAAATATTGAACTAACCATGGCCCATGATAAGACACATTGAATGTAATAGTCTGACTGCTATGCTTAAGACCATAAGACACACAAGCAAAATTAGGTCATTCAGCTCATTGAGTCTGCTCCACCATTCAATCACAGCCGATACATTTCTCAACCCCATTCTCCTGCCGTCTTCCCAAAAGCTTTGATCCCTTACAAATCACCAGCCTATCTTTCTCTGTCTTAAAAACACTAAAATGACTTTACCTCCTCAGCCATCTGCAACAATGAGTTCCACAGATCCACATCCCAGTACCAAAAGGGCATCCCTTCACTTAGAGGCCATGATCCTAGTCTCTCCAATTAGTGAAACATCTACTCCACATGCACTCTATCCAGACATCTCCATATTCTGGAAATTTGTAATGAGACCCCCTTTCATCCTTCTAAACTCGAATACAACATCATCAGGAGTGATCACTGGACATGTTTATAGAGTCAACGATCTCTCTTTACATTAAGGATACCCTCCACCGTGCTAAAATAGATAGATTTGAAACAGACCTTGCAATTCAGGACTAGGCATCCATGAAGCACTGTGGGCCATCAACAACAGCAGAATCAGAATCCGGCTCAGTGTGTAACCTTATGGCCCGGTATATCCCCCATTTAACCATTACCATCAAGCCAGGGGATCAACCCTGGTTCAATACAGAGTGCTGAAGGGCATGCCAGAAGCAGTCCCAAGCATACCTACAAATGAGATATCAACCTGGTGAAGCTACCAAACAGGACTAGTTGTATACCACACAGTAAAAGCAGCAAGTGATAGGCTGAGGAAAATGATCTCACATTCTAAGCTCCGCAGTCCTGCCACATCCAATGGTGAATGGTGATGGACAACTCATTGGAGGAGGAGACACCTTAAACATCCCCGTCCACAATGATGGTGGACCCCAGCACATCAATCAGAAAGACATGTCTGTAATCTTCAGCATGGGGGCTGGTTAGCTAAGTTACAATGTAGGAGTGTGGCTATTCTCATCAGTTCAATCAGTTCAATTCATTCTACTGTTGCCATGAATGAATCACCTCCTCACCCTTCCCTTTTCTGAGGTGTGGTGACCCTCAGGTTAAACCACCGTTATCATCTTTCTCTAATAAGGGAACGGCACTTTTTACTGTTCAGGTAAAAATCACTTTAATTTCACAGTAGGATTTTTTTTTTGACGCTTATCTGGGCGATCACTAGGTCCATCCATTTTCCAGTTGCGAGCATCATCGAACAAGACGACAATTTAAGTATTGAATTTGACAGATTAGAAATTTCCAAGACACAGCTTCACATTAAATTCAACATATTTTTCTTTTCCTTGAGATAATTTGTAAGATGATGCATTTGTAAAGCAGAAACATGAGGGACTGTGAGTCGAATGACAGAAATCAAGAGCTTTATGGCCACAACTCAGTTGATCATGCATCGGTTTGAAATGAGAAATGATAGGTGAGAGTTCTAGAGTCACCGGGAGCCTGTTTAAAGGCCATTAACATGTCAAAACAATTGTTTTGACAAATAATCTTTGCAAGGAGGCGCGTGGTTGCAACATCATTCAGAACTTAATGTGGGCCCATTTTGCCTTTTGCATCCAAACGTATGTCCTTTGACTCCCCCAAAACAAGCACAGTGAAGACATTTGTGAAGCTGATTCAATATTAAGTATTCTGGTCACTGCATTTCATGCTGAGAAGGATATAGAAATCATAAGCTGTATCAGTTATGTGTGATGTGGAATTAAAAGCGCTGCTCCTCATATGTGCGCTATATTTATGCGAGACAGATATTGATGAATGCACCGAAGGCATCATACAGTGTCACAGACACGCCCGATGTGTAAATGTACCGGGATGGTATCACTGTGAGTGCAGGATTGGTTACCATGACAACGGCAACTATTCATTCACCGGAGAAAACTGCATCGGTAAGCAATTAAACAAAAATTGTTGACGTTTGTTGAATTGTTGAAATTCGTCCTATTTATATCAATAGATGTACCAAACTCACAACTCACAAGAGAAAAAATAAATTGCCTTTTTTTGTTCCTTTTCTCCAAATTGCTGTCGGAACTGAGAGAATAAAGCATTCAAGATTTTCTTTTTCCTCCTGCTCAGTGGTAGAAAATAATGGAGTGCAGAGGGAGTTTAGTGGTAACTCATGTTACTCGAGCTCATGTTGTGTTCGATTGTCGAAGGGTTCTCAAGGTATCTGGTTCCACCAGCGTGTCATACTGTGAACCCAGATTTTGTTTTGTCGTGAAATTATGTGGACCCAAAGGTATGGGCAAATAAACCCAGTTCTCATCCACTTCTCACACAAAGGAGGCCTTTTCTTTCTTCATTGGATATTGTCACCAGCCTTTGATGCCCACCACTTGTCCTGAGGGGCTTGCTAGGCTGCTTCAGGGGGTATTTATACGTCTGGAGTTACTTATAGGTCAGACCAGGTAAAGAAGGCAGATTTCCCTTCCCTAAGTTACATTGCAAATGTGAATGGATTTTTACAGCAATTGATAACGTTTTCCTGGTTGCTATTGAACTAGCTTTTTTCTATATAAAAAGTTTGGGATTTAAAGTCAAAGAGTTATACAGCACAGAAACAGACCCTTCAGTCCAACTCATCCATACCAACCAGATATCCTAAATTATTCTAGTCCTAGTTGCCAGCATTTGGCCCATATCCCTCTAAACCTTTCCTATTCATGTACCCATCCAGATGCCTTTTAAATGTTGTAATTGTACCAGCCTCCATCACTTTCTCTGGCAGCTCATTCCATACATGCAACACCCTCTGTGTGAAAACGTTGCCCCATTTCAATCTTTCCCCATTTACTAACTGACTCCAAAAATGCATCTTTAGCACAATGGTATTTGAAAACAAACCATTAGCTGGATTGCTAGGTCTAGCAACAATACTGTTACTTAATGACTTCCCCATATTAGTAAATGTGGTTTGTTAGAGTTCTTTAACTCAAGCTAGAGTATACCTGGTCAATTGTAGTGTGCATCCCAATGAGGCAGGAGTGCCATCATGCTACTGTCACTGAGCTAATAATTTAAGCTAATGCTCTAGCGAAATGCATTGAAATCCCACCACAGTGGAGGTTGGAGCATTAAATCAAATCAGTGAAAATCTGGAATTGAAATCTAGGTGTCTTATGAAATTACTGTCATTAAAAAACAAGCATCAGGTTCACTAATGTCCATTAGAGAGAAGTTTACTGTCCCTAGCTGGCGCGGTCTACATGACTCTGAATCAACAGTGAGGGAGTTGACTCTTAACTGCTCCCTAGGAAGCCACTCATTTCAGACAACATTAGGGATGGGCAACCAATGCTGACCCGGCCAGTGATGTTCACAACATATAATAAAGAAACAAAATATTGCAAAGTCTAATTAGTGTTTAGCCCATAAGAATTGACATTAAAAATTGCCTGTTTATAAATACATTCCATAGTTGATAGACTTCGTACTCTGACAGGGATTTTGAACTGCAGCTGGAAAACAGAATTGAAAGGTTTGTTCTGGCTTTTTTTTAACAGACAGTTGACTCATTCAAATCCTGAAGAGTAATTCTTCATTATTTAGGCCATAGGAGCTCATCAACCAGAACTTGACTCATTACTTGAATGATGATTTGAGTGAAGCATTGTTAAAATTGATCTGGTTTTCTTACATTCTTTATGGGATGTAGGGGGTTCTTCACCAAAGGCGGTAACACAGTCTTTGCCTCCTCAGTGATGATGCAGAGCACTGATCAACTCATAATTCAGAGTAAATTGCTAATTAAGTGACAGTCTCACTTGGAGAGGTTACGCTGCATGTTGTAAGTGGGAAAATCTACATGGGTGAAAAATGAGTCATGCTGAAGTTGGACTTAAAGCAAATTGTTGGGATGGAGTGATGTCTTAAACTGAGCTGTGATGTAACACATCCGGGAATGCTTGATGTTGGCACAGTGGTCTCAGGGGGAGGGAAGTGTCATATTCTTGAGTTATGCCCCTAAACTCAGAATTATCACTGTCCTACTGGATTGGTAAGTCGTGTAAGTTCAATTTATTTGAAGGTCTCACATAGATTTGGTTAAAAGACAAATTGGTATCTTGCAGTTATGGAGGAACCTATGTACACATCCCCAGTTCAACTGGCTGCTACCTGGTCTCTTCTTGGCTGCTGATCACCCTGTAAAACAGGACGACCACTGAATAATACCCTCCTGTTCATAAATTGGAGGAGTGTCTTTCCCTATCTATTTACCATGATAAGCACCATACCATATGAACATTGAGTGTTCAACCAGGATCCTACTGAATGGTGGAGCAGGCTCGAGAGGCTGAATGACCTACTGATGTTCCTATTTACAATACAATACAGAAGAGTACAGCGCAGGAACACGCTATTTGGCCCACCATGCCTCTGCTGATTCCTGATCCTTATTTAGACCCACTACTTATTGCCCATGCACAGTTTCTATCCCTCTGTTTGCCTCCCGTTCATGTGTTTATCACGATATGCCTTAGACATTGCTAACATGCCTGCTTCCACCACCTTCATTGGCAATATGTTCCAAGCACTCACCACCCTCTGTGTGAAAAAGTTTGCCCCCACTTCTCCCCTAAACTTGTCCACTTTCACCTTGAACCTGTGCCCTCTTGTAGTTTACCTTTCCACCCTGGGAAAAAGATTCTGCTTATCCACCCTATCAATGCCTCTCATAATTTTGTAGACCTCAATTGGGTCAGCCCTCAGCCTCCGTCTTTCCAGTAAAAACAATTGGAGTTTTTACAGTCTCTCCTCATAACTAAAACTCTCCAGACCAGGCAACATCCTGGTAAATGTTCTCTGCACCCTCTCTAAATCATCCACAACCTTCTGGTAGTGTGGTGACCAAAACTGCAAGCAATATTCCAAATACTAAAGTTTAGGCCGAACTAAAGTTTTGTACAGCTGTAACATAACTTACCAACTTTTATATTTGATGCCCAGGCCGATGATGGCGAGCATGCTGTATGCCTTCCTGACCACCTTACCCACCTGTGTTGTTACTTCCAGTGATCTGTGGACCTGTATGCCCAGATCCCTCTGTACGTCAATGCTCTAAAGGGTTCTGCCATTTATTGTATAATCCACACCTGAATTTTGATCTTCCAAAATGTATCACCTCGCATTTGTCCGGATTAAAGTCCATCTGCTGTTTCTCTGCCCAAATCTGCAAGCTACCCATATCCTGCTGTATCCTTTGATAATCCTCCTCACTATCTGCAACTCTGCAAATTTTGGGGTCATCCACAAACCTATTAATCAGATGACCTACATTTTTCTCTAAATCATATATTTACAAACAACAAAGGTTCCAGCACCGATCGCTGGGTCACATCCTGGAATTGCCTCCCTAAGGGCATTGAGGGTCAACGTACAGCCCATGGACTGCGGCAGTTCAAGAAGGCAGCTCGTCACCACATTCTCAAGGGCAACTAGGGACAGGCAATAAATGTTGGCCAGACAGTGCCACCCACGTCCCACAAGGGAGTTAAAAAAGACACCTGACTTGGCACAGGCTGGGGTTCAAACCTTATAAATAAGGGTCAGGTACTTCCATGATTAGGCTGTGAGTCACTGAGGAAACTGCATTTTCTTTTTGCATGAATATAAACCTTTTGCTTTCAGTCCGACAGCTTTGAGCCTGAATGATTTGAGCAGCTACCAGGCAATGAGTGACATCTGGATAGCAGTGCATCTGGCTACAGTTTCTGGAACTGAATTGCAGTGTAATAGAGCTGTCAATGCAATGCAATCTCACACCTGCATTGATGCAATCTGGCAACCGAAACAAAAAAATAAACTTGGAACCTTTTTAAAGCAAAAATAATTTTCAGCTGCCCATGTATCACAAAGTGTTCTTACTGAACAAGCACACACAAAAAAAAATGGCTTCAAAGGAATGAGTTGGATGAAATCTAAATGCAGAAGATATATTGCAGTTTGTGTTTTCCAGCTCTATAGTTTAATATTGTAACTTGCATCAAGACGGTCAAATTCCTTGATGTGCCATGATTTGGGAGGCATGGGGTTTGGGGGGTGGGGGGTACGGGAGCTGTGTGGTTTAGCAAATGGCAGATCCTGATGAACAAAAGGAGGAATTTTACTGAACACATTGAAACGTTATCAAACTCCTTCGATCAGCGCATTGGAACAGTGAGGAGAGGTACTAGGCTCCCCTCTTCGCCCTTTGGTCAGTAGCCATAGAGAAAATGGCAGCCATAATTAAGGCCAGATGTTGTTAAAAGTCGATTCAACTTTGTTGAATTTAGATATTAACGAGGTATACTGCAAATAGAAAGAAGTGGGTGAAAAAAGTGAATGCCCAACAGATATCTTTTGTTTCTTTATTACTGTCCTTTGTCTAGTTTAAGTGATTCAATCTATGTGAGAAGGGTTGAATGCTTCTGTGCTCCAAGCACCTGATAATAAAGTGAGGAATTAACTTGTACCTTTAAAGTATAAGACAGTGAATGTGATTTTGCCTTATCTTTTTAATCCATCATTAAATCACATACTTCCAGAAAAAGTATTAACTTCTCAGAATTTGCGACTTATTTTTTGATATTCACCTGAAAAGCTCGTGTGAAATCGAACCGTTTTTAATGAATTTCCCTGATTCCTGCTGTGTGCCACTTAAAATAGGTACGGCTGATTAAATCAAAGTTGAAATATGTTTTCTTTGGCCGTTGCATCTTGGGTTAGGGATCAAAGAAATTGAATGCCTTTCACAACCTCAGGGGGTCCCGACGTGTTTCACAGCCCATTAAGTATGCATGAATAGTAGCTGCTGCTGAGTTATAGGGAGCATAGTAGCCAACCGATGCACAGCAAGATCCCACAAACTGCCTGACCTGATTATCTGTTTTAGTGATGCGATTGAGGG